CCCCAAAACCCCAAAACCCCAAAACCCCAAAACCCCATATAAAAAATTGTAAATTGACACAATTATAGTCTACTTAAGATCATCAAGATACCCTTCGATATCATCTTTGGCATCCATGTCAAATACATTCGAGTCAACATAGGTCTGTAGCTTCTCTAGGATCTCATCGTACAGCTCTTTTTTCCCTTTGCCCAATTCATTTACCGATTTCAGTGCGAATTTTCTACAAATATAATCATCAGAACTTACTTAATAATTCTTACGATGAGCTTGACTTCATCCTCAACTTCTTTGGTAGAGACCATCTCTGCCTCCTTAGCAGGTGTAGAGGTCACAGATGGTTTGGCCAAGAGCAGTAGCTCTTGGATATACCTTCTGATCAAACTCAAAGCCTCTTTGGACCCAAGATGGGCACATGTCTCACTGACTGAGAATTCCAGAGTCTTGTGCAAGATTTTTGTATTTGAAATATGAGCAAAATATTGCAGGATCACAAATCTAGCCTTTGTAATAAACGAAAGAGGAGAGAACTGCTCATGACCATGCTTTGAGTTGAGCTCTGAAGACTTGATTATATACTTCTTGGTTTGACCTGAAGGGATAGGTTAAGGATGTCAAATACAGTAAGAACACTTACTTAGATTCTCCTTCTGCTTCTGTTGAATGGCTGTATTTAGCTTTTTTAATAAATCTCTATGGTGGTCTAGAAGATTATTCTCAAACGAGTCTTTTAACAAGCTGTTTTGACAATAGTGAACTAGGATCGGGAAACTTTCAGGATACTTCTGAGTTAGTGATTCAAGTGTTGATGTCAAATTAAATTCCTCTGTGATATTAAGAGTAGAGATAAACTCAAGGAACAAAATAGCAGATTGCTCTAGCACAGTTGCATCTAACTCCTCAGAATCAGCAATAGATTTGAAGAAGGAATCAGTCAATTGAAACTTCTCTAATGAGCTTGCATCTATCTTTCCTAGGGAGGTGATCAGGATCTCTAAAGATTCCATATCAGGTGTTGTGTTTGCAAGGAATTTAGTCACCTCAATTTCAATCTCATGGAAAGAATCAATGTCTTTGATCAAGTAATTTAGCACCTCAGATCTTCTTTCTGCATAAAGAACGTTTTTGATATGACTCTGGATCAGATCAATCAGGTGAGACACATCAACAACTTTACTGAAGCCATTAGCTAACTCCAGGATTCTGAAATGAAGTGCTACGTCATATTTGAACTGTGTAGTGATGGCCTGGCCTGATTTAGCATAGACAATACTTGGAACACTCTCTGAGATCTTAGATTCCTCTTCAGGGGTTTCTTCTCTCTCTTCAATTATCTTCATATCATCGTTCTGCTCAAGGAGCTTCTTTCTGATGTGAAGTTTTTCAAGTACACGAAGTTCGTACTTGATATACTCGAAGTAAAACTCGCAAACTCCTGGGTTCCTTCTCATTGCTTGTAGGAATATTTTTCTTGAGCCTTGCATGTTTCCTCTCATGTCAAACTCTCAATATACTGCGATGAGCCAAAAGTCAAGAACGTTTGGGTGAACATGAAGAGTTCTGGCCATCACACTGTTGAATTTACCAAGACTTCTCGTGCTATATAATGTAATTTCATGGGGCTTACAGGAGGAGATAATGGAGAAAGTCCTTGAGAAGGTTGACATCATATCTATATCTTCTTGTCATACGCTCGTAGATGGCTATTATTCTTCTGTGGATAGAGAAGTCAATCATCTTCATTCCCTTATTAGTTTTCTCTTTTCTTCTGCTTATAAACTCCTTATTGAGGTTCTTTTCATAAATTATGGCTTTCAGATAATCTGCAACGCTAGCTAAAATGGTCACTTTCTCAATAATTACCGTGCGGGGACATGCACATGATGATTTCTGATTGCCTGCGCTCTTTGACGATCATTCTGATCTCTTCTTCTGTGAAGTAATCCTCATTTTTGTACATGGTCAGCTCAGGGACCATGTCTTCCATAATGGCATCAACTTTGTCTGTCATAAACACGATATTTATTATTTAGATCAGGGGTTTTGGGGTTTTGGGGTTTTGGGGTTTTGGGG